GACGAGGCCGCTCCTGAAAAAGTGCCAAGAAGACTTAACTTCTGACATTCCTTTAGGAGGTCCAGCACAAGAGGAAATAAGGGACGGTTTCTATTTTTATACGTAGGTTTAGCAGTGACGCAGTCAGTCGGCGAGGTGACGGTTTGTGTGTGTGTCCGGATGAAAATGAGCTTCTCAGGTCATAAAAACTCCTCAGGGGTGTGAAATAATGGCAGAACCGATTAGAAAACGCTGTAGATGGTTCAGAGTTCCTTCATACGCGGTCACGTCTGTATATATGAGCAACACTCGGCTGCATGTGTATATTTTGATTCATTCGAGCTGAAAAGTTCGGTGTCAAAAACTGGACTTGTGAGAACGGCTGCTTTCAGGGGGAAACCCTTTCATCACAAAATGCTGTATTTAACGGATGGTTCAAATCCACCATGTGCACATTTTCCTGTGGCCTGCGGTGCTCTTTATCCACCAACCATGTTTTAGTCACATGGCCACAGTATTATAGCAGAAATAACATGTTAACAGCCTGCTGCAGAAATGTTTCTGCCCTCTGTGGCTGTTTGCATCCTTCATAAGAACTGTACAGTGGGTTAATTTTCCCTGTATGTCTGTTTAGCTTTTATTGTGGCTTGAAATTCGAATTGTCCACCTTGGGAAGCCGTAGCTGACCGTCATCTGTCTACAGCTCAGCTAATTTGGATCATTTCTCTGTGTTCACACTGTTTTTTGAGCTTTTTTGTGATGCAGATCGTCCATCAGGTCTGTGCTGTATTTTATCAGCCTGTTACTTTGCAGTAATAAGCATCTGTGGGCACGTCTGAGACCAAACTGATAAAGGTGGATGGATATCAGCGCAGGCCGGAGGAAGAACCTGTGAATTTGTTTGAACTGCCCCTTTAAGCTGGTTGGTGTCTCCTGTGTTTCTCTGTACGTTAATGACTCCTGAGCACAATTCATTTCCTGCTGTGTTACAGGCAAAGCTTCTTCTGCCTCGTCCTACCAGCTGTGGCTGCACTGTGGGGCTGTCAGAATATAAGAACTGGTTTTGATCCCTCGACGTTCAGAAAAAGGGGACACATGTTTAAAATAATGGCGCCTGATTGTTGTTGAATTATTTGCATGAGCTGCTTGTTGCTGCCGGAAATTAAGTCGAAGTCACTGGAGACCAGAGAACCTCAGAGACACTTTTAAATGCTTCCTTTGATTTTCCAACCTTGGACTGATTCTTCATAAACTGCTGAATATGGAAACCACAACAAACATCAGAAAGTTTATTTTTGTTCCTCGTTTTTCAATTTCTAAACAGTTACAGCCAAACGTCTTCGACCTTGAGACTGTTGAATTTTTTACTTTGATTTAATATCATTTACATGCTTGAGTTAAAAAAACTGAGCAGCATGTCAGTTTACTCAGCGAGTGATTCATGGATAAATCCATACTCTCTTTAATCTCTACATTTGTTTTGTGAACATTTCTTTCTTTAACGTTTTGTTGTTTACACTGTTTCGTGCTGGTTTTATATAACTAGCTGTTTAATTTCCCCTCAATATTCAAGCACAAACATTTTTTGGGTCAAATAAAGAATTGGATTCCTTAGGAAACTGTAAAAGTGCCTGGAAAAAGTGAACAAACGAACAAAACCAGAGAAAAACATGAAATGTTGCTTTAGTTCAGCAACTCCAGATTAGACTTTTTACTTTAGAAGTTAATCTAAGTGAAAATCTTTCTGACTTTTGAGAATTCAGAAGTTCTTTCTGCCGTCTCGTGTCTCTGCCTTTTTTATAAATCTGCTTGAGCATGTCAGGATCTGAGTTTGCTTCCTGTTGGCGTCTGCCTTAAAGTCAGCTTGTGTTTGAGATCACTGCTGTTTGGTTGGTTTGTGTGCTTTGTGGGGTTTTTGTTGTTTGCTTGTCTAACAAAGAAAATAAAAAACTAAAGCAATAAAAGATGCTGCTTTTACTTTTGTACATATAGATTCTTATTAAAGCTCCAATTAAATCAAATGTAACTGTAAACACGCTGCAGAC